ATGAGCAAGACGAATGTACAATACTTTAATATCTTTATTGTGGACAGTAAAGATACTGAGTGTTGTACATGTGATACACTCATCAGCTTGCCGGTATTGTATACCAATTACAATATATTAAATACATATTTAATTATTTCATAGAGACTGGCGCACAACCTGTAGGGGTCATACAGACCTCATCTATCTTCCCCAAGTTAGGGTAAGATAGAACCAGTTCCATGGATAGCAACTCCATCACGGTATCAAAACACCTCCCGTGAAGGGTGTGCCCAGACTTGCTGCAAGTATTAATCTTGGGTTAAAATTATTCGCACATTATTATCTAATGACAAAGTTATGTATGCCAGAGCAGCGTGGAAACAGATGCAACTTGATTATCTCCCTCTTCCCAGGCGTTGTATGACCCCTGTGTTTTTAGAGCTTCCCAGCGAATATAATGAGACTAGAGCAAAGCTTTTTTTTTTTTTTTTTTTTTTTTTTTTTTTTTTTTTTTTTTTTTTTGCATACTTTTACATCTCGCCTGTTGACGGGTGAGTTCTGAAGAAGGGAATACCTGGCACCTGACTGAGTTGTGATCTCACGACATGTTTGTGTGCTCATATAGTTAATTGATGCGATATATGCCATCTTGTTGCCTAGAGCCTTACCCCAGGCAAAAACTTGAACCTGCAATTTACAAGAGTGAACCCAGCACTAAAGTGCACTCAGTGGGACGACTACTGAGTCCAGCACAGGTTTCTCCTCTTTCACACCCCTCATGGGAGGTTCCTTGACTGGAACAATACACAAATAACCCGCACATAGAGAAGCTTACGACGACGTTTCGGTTCAACTTGGACCATATACAAATTTACACCGAAACGTCGTTGTAAGGTCCTCTCTATGTGCGGGTTATTTGTGTATTGATTATAATAATAAGCATCTTTCACAGCGGACGCCAGTGTTCACACTGTGTTGTTACACCATCCTGCCATACGACCACCAGCTACCCCACAGTATCTCACTTGACATAAGTTTTTTCGTCAGTAAAAAATACATGGGCTACAAAGTGTAGATAGCGGAGTGGAGCGTATGTGAGGTATGATAGCAGGTGATCGGACCCAACTGTTCACTTGCCTAGCATGATTGAGTAGGCTTACTGCAGTGTCACTTTATTATTGTGTATTGATGCGGGTTTAGTGTATAGTTTCCCAGGTAACGTATGAGATTCACCGGTGGAATCCCGGCCCGGGTTTTGTTCTTCCCAGGTGTTTTTCTGATGTAATAAGAGGTGCCAACAGTTTTGTGACTTTGAAACCTTTCGGGTAATGGTGTTTATTGTACCGATTAAGACAAATTCTAAACATTTTCATGAGCGCTGGGCTCTCAGGACTGGGTTCTTACAGGAGCTGGGATCATTAGCGTTGGGTTCTCTCAGGAGCTGGGTTCTTAAGCGCTGGGTCACAGGAGCTGGGATCATGAACGCTAGGTTACCATAGGAGCTGGGATCATGAGCGCTGGGTTCTCACAGGAGCTGGGTTCTCACAGGAGCTGGGTTCATGAGCGCTGGGTTCTCACAGGAGCTGTGATGATGAGCGCTGGGTTCTCACAGGAGCTGTGATCATGAGCGCTGGGGTTCATGAGCGCTGGGTTCTCACAGGAGCTGGGTTCATGAGCGCTGGGTTCTCACAGGAGCTGGGTTCATGAGCGCTGGGTTCTCACAGGAGCTGGGTTCTCACAGGAGCTGGGTTCATGAGCACTGGGTTCTCACAGGAGCTGTGATGATGAGCGCTGGGTTCTCACAGGAGCTGTGATCATGAGCGCTGGGGTTCATGAGCGCTGGGTTCTCACAGGAGCTGGGTTCATGAGCGCTGGGTTCTCACAGGAGCTGGGTTCATGAGCGCTGGGTTCTCACAGGAGCTGGGTTCATGAGCGCTGGGTTCTCACAGGAGCTGTGATCATGAGCGCTGGGTTCTCACAGGAGCTGTGATCATGAGCGCTGGGGTTCATGAGCGCTGGGTTCTCACAGGAGCTGGGAACATGAGCGCTGGGTTTTCAGCAGTTAAAACAGAAATTAGGTGGCGTGTCGGGGGGCGGCTGCCTCACCTCTTGCTTACACTGGCTTATTTACTTGTGAAACACGATATTTGTAATTCCTGCTGAACAAACTATTTATTGCGGCTTTCAGTCTCCTCCACGTTCTTGGTATGATAGGTCTGTGAACTTCATATATCTTGTTTAAACCTCTGATGTTTAATACAGAAACTGGTGCCAAACTTGCCGTTTTTTTTTATCGACGAAAGCATTCCTTTAGGGCGTCAGAACAAGCTTATCGTACTGGCAGAAATGTAAACATGACATAAAAACTAGTATTCCCGGCGCGTAACTCCCCTCCATGGAAATCGTGTTGGGGCGGTGTATTTGGGGGCAAGAATGGCGCAGGAGGAGAGGCTGGCACGCCATATGACGATTGAGTCTCAGCAAGAAACATTGGTGGGGTCTAGCTGGACTAGCCCAGGCTCCTAGCAGGACACGTAGAGTCGCTTACTAGGGCCCCCCTTGGCGTCTGTCTTGCAGTGCCTTAGCAATCTCTCCTAAAACGACTTTTACAAGACGCATCCCTGTGACCCTGGTCACTACGTTTAATAGTAAAACCAACAATCTTTCGTATTGTCTGTTAGGTCACCTAGGAGGACTAGGTGAAGTATAGCAGGACGATCGAGTACCCTAACCGACTCAGCGGTCTTAGCATAAGTCGATACTACACAATTACCCGGTCAATGATGGACAATCCACATGAGCGTCCTACTCCATATTTTTGTCAAATATGAGATTTATCAGCTGAATATTTTTTTTGTGACATTCTCAAATGACGTGGTGATTATAGTTTGCGAAAATATGAACCTGATCTGCTCTTTACAGACGTAATGCAATTTAGTGCATGGTTATATATGTAAGTAAATGCAAGTTTTCTGCTGTAATAAAGTTGGTAGAATTACCGACAATATGTAAAGTAAAAGGACACAAGTGCAGCTAATGTGATATTTTATTGTGGCAACGTTTCGCTCTCCAGGAGCTTTGTCAAGCCGGCTTGACAAAGCTGCTGGAGAGCGAAACGTTGCCACAATAAAATGTCATATTAGTTGCACTTGTGTCCTTTTACTTTACAAGTTTTGTGTTGTTACTCATGATGAATTAGACACATGCAGTATATGGCTATCTTTATTTTGTAGACGCTTTCGACATTCAGTGGCTTTACCAAGACGACAATACAGGGACATAAACGGAAGATTGTAGAAGAGGTAAAAAGTCCCCCAGCCTCGCAGAATTATATACAGAAGACAGGAGATGATGTTAATCAGTCGCTCAGCCTAAAAAACACGTGCTAAACACCTGCTACTAGATTAAGGGACTGATTACCTTTTCTACAGTCTTCTGTTTATGTCCCTGTATTGTGTTGATAAGGCCACTGGTTGGCGAAACGTCTGCAAAATAAAGATGCCCAGATATTGCACATTTTAAATTAATCACTTCGTCGGTATTGTATACCAGTGACATTGTGTATTACTCATGTTAATATCCTACCTATCTGGAAAGTGTTCCGAGGGTCAACGTCTCTGCGGCTCAGTCCCAGACCAGGCCACCTGGTGGATGACCTGATCAGTAAGGCTGTTGGTTCTATTCCTAGGGACTGACTTAAGAAACATGTAAAGTTCTTTCTTGAAGACAGCCAGGGGTCTGTTGGTTATACCGTTTATGTTGAAGGGAAGATGTTGAAAATTCCTGGTCCCTTCACACTTACTAATATATTATAAATATATATATATATATATATATATATATATATATATATATATATAATATATATATATATAATATATATATATATATATATAATATATTCAGCATGTTAGCCATTAAGATGGTATTGTAAGTAAATGCAGTAATATACGTTTCTTTTAATAGGTCAGCATTGCAAACTGCAACATCTAGTTTAACGTGTATACCATTCAATATTTCTTAGAAAATGGGGAAAAACTGGATATTTTTTTGACGTTTGAACGCACTTTTTTTGTTTTTTAATTTACCTGTTTCAGCACACAGCCCGAAATTATACATACTCCTAGGATGCGACCCTAACAACTAGGCACCTATTTATTGCTAGGCAAACAAGGGCAGTAGGTGTACAGAAATTTATCCACACTTTTCTTCCTGCCCGGGAGTCAAACCTGAGTCCTTTTTGTTTTAAATGTTACATACAGATTATATTGCTCTCCTTATTGTTGTAGAGATGATGATATCTGTTGCATGCAGATAACCTTATCATTCATACTGTAAGGTGTATTTATACACACACACACACACACACACATATATATATATTCTTTCTTTCTTTCAACACACCGGCTGTATCCCACCGAGGCGGGGTGGCCCAAAAGGAAAAACGAAAGTTTCTCCTTTTGCATTTAGTAATATATACAGGAGAAGGGGTTACTAGCCCCTTGCTCCCGGCATTTTAGTCGCCTCTTACGACACGCATGGCTTACAGAGGAAGAATTCTGTTCCACTTCCCCATGGAGAAATATATATATATATATATATATTTATTTAAAGTTATAGTGATAAGGCCTAGTTAGTATTAGACTGCCCTCAATGCTTTGCATAATCACTAGCTTTCCATTTGGTCGGTAGTCCATGCCACCTTTTTTTTTTACCCATTGTAATTTTTTTTTTGGGGGGGGGAATTAACTTAATTTGTCTTTATTGTTGGAACATGTTACCCACCACTAGCTTTGTCATAACAGTATAAACAATGCATTTTTTTTTTTTTTGGGGGGGGGGGGGTTGACAAAGCTCATTGTAAACTAAAAATTTGCCTCGGTAAATGTAATTTGGCACATGTATTCATTTACTTAACATATTGTAGGTAGTCTTATCAATACATTAACATTCCTACGGTTGCATCCAGATAATAACGTTCCTACGGTTGCAGAGATAACATTAATACTTGTGTACAGATAATGTGTTGACCTTCCTACAATCACATCCTCTAATGGACGAGGCGGTAGCCCACGAGCACAACAAGCCAGTGTTCTTCAAGAGAGACCTTATCTTCACTCACCTGGTGGTAGACAAGGTCACTGGGGGGACCTACGGACAAGAGAACACATATACAGTCTACTATGCTGGATCTTGTAAGTTCTACATCGACATTTTCAAAGTATTTAAGTTTTACAAAGACAAATCATTTCTAATATTTAAATGGATCGTGATGAATTCCTTAATTTTCTAATATATGAGGGAATAAGTGGACAAGATACTGTTTTAGTCAAGTGTAAAATCATAAAATTCCTTATAGACTTAATATTTGTTTTAAGCGGAGAACTTTTACATTAACAATTATATTTGATTAGCTGTCTTTTGAGTCATTGTTATTAGGTATTTAGTCGATTATGTGGAAAACTTAATTACCACATAGGTAGGAATTATGGTTAAAATAGAAGGCTGCTCCTTGGTGGAAATCAGACACGATTTAATGTTTTACTATGTATAAACTATCAACACCATGAAATAAACAATTATTTCTTGGGTAGATGCTTATTTTGGGAGATATTATCAAAATATACATAAAAAATTAGCACGAATGGCACATCAGAGCTAGTCAACTCTTAGTTTTGCAGACCATACCACGGGCGGGGATAGAACCCGTGATCAGAGAGTCTCAAAACTCCAGACTGTTGCGTTAGCCACTGGACCAGCTAGCCACAATAAGATTCGTCCAACTAGGTATATTTCTACACCATAGGCACCACTGTGACCACAAATGCAAGTTTTTACAGACGAATCTCCAGCTAGCGTGGCCGTGACAAACTCTAGCTCAAGTCCCCTCAAAACCGTTAACATGACTCACGAAATCGTAATGGCACAATTGCAAACAGTCTAGCCAGTCAGTACCACATAGACAAAGAGTAGGGAACATCAACAAAGAAGTCTGAATAACGTTGAATTACATTAGGATTTTATAGGTAGGTTTCACATGTAAAACCAGTTTAATATTGTCTTCAGTTGTTAACTGTTGTTACTAAGTGTAATGTTTACATAACTCTTTCTCCCCAGTGGAGGGCCGTGTGTACAAGGTGGTAGAGTGGCTGGATGATGAAGATGTCTCACACTCTGAGCTTCTCGATGTCTATGAGGTCACTACACCTGAACCAATAAGGGCAATACAGATTTCCAAAAAGGTATGTTGTGTGTGTGTATAGGTCTCTTGAATATGTGCAACAGGGGGACACACTCGCCCCCTTTCTATTCTGTTTGGTCATCAAGGAAGTCACAGAAGCACTCTCCACTGAGCTCAATATCTGGTTCTTGGTTGATGGTACCCTGGCTGGCACTACAGAATTTCTCCTAGAGGACATCAGAAAAATTAAAGACATGGGAGAAAGCCTGGGCCTATCTTTAAACCCCACCAAATGTGAAATAGTTTCTACCACTCGACAGATGATCCAGAATATTAGTGTTGTTTTACCAGGAGCACGAGCCATTGATCCAGCCAACAGCACTCTCCTTGGTGCTCCTCTTGATTCTACTGCCATCGATCTGATCTTAGAAAAAAAGTCTCAGACCTCAGGACAATGGAAGGCAGGATGAAAGACATCAATACACATGATGCCTTCTACCTACTCACCAGGTGCCTGTTGTCAATCCCAAAACTTACCTACTTTCTGAGATGCTCCCCAGCCTTCAGCAGTCCGAAATTCAAGGAATATTACTCTCCTTAAGACCAGGCTAGAGAGTGTATTGAATCTTTCCCTCGAAGATGGACAGTGGTTGCAAGCCTCACTTCCAGTCAGGCTTGGGAGGCTGGGAGTACACAGATCCTCCCAGATTGCCCTACCAGCTTTCCTGTTCTCTTCCATAGGATCAAACGAGTTAATAAGACAAATTCTTCCGGACAACCTCAGTGACTCAGCAGGAATACAGGACCCTAACTTTGCCACTGCCATCTCTGAATGGAGACTCTTGCTGCTCCATCACCAAACCCTAGTGCAGCACTGACCTACAGTCAAGCTGGGATGGTCCCATCACTGAAAAGGTACTTGCCAACATGCTCAGGGCTGTAACTTCAGACAGAGAGACTGCCCATCTCCAAGCTGTGAGTGCACATCACTCCAGGGACTTCTCCAAACAGTTCCCATTTTGGCACTGGGAATGAGCCTCAACCCTAAGACCCTCTGTGCCTTGCTGCCCCAATTCACATGGAATATGTGTGTATTTGCAGGGATGCGCAGGTCGACTAGTATGGTCTACATGGTCTTAACTGTTCCAAAACCAAGGGCTGGCATGCAAGACACAATGAGGTCAACGACATCATAAAGAGAACCCTTGCTACAGCTGGATGCCCAGCCAAAAGGGAGCCCCAATCACTAACAGCCAACAATACCCACAACCCAGCAAACCACCCTGCTGGGATCACCATCTACCCTTGGAAGAATGGCAGTGTGTCCACACTGGCTGACACCTATGTCCATCACAGTGTCGGGTGACAGGGAGCTGCTGACCACAGGGAGGAGTACAAGATCGGCAAGTACAGGGACATAAGCGAACAGTATCAGTTTGTCCCAGTGGGATCAGAGACCTTGGGATCATTGGGAAAAAATGCCACATGTTTCCTTGAAGAGCTGGGTTCCAGACTCAATGACACCACCAGGGACCCAAGAGCAGCCACTTTCATGTTCCAGCGCCTTGGTGTGGCCATCCAGAGGGGGAATGCATGCTGCATACTGGGCTTGTGTTCGGCTTCGGAGGAGCTGGAGGAGATTCGTAACCTTTGATATATTGTACCAATGTATTCATGTTTGTGTTTTTTATCAATGTAGTGTCTATTAATTAAGTTAGCATGTAGCATTTTATATATATATATATATATATATTTATATATATATAATATATATTATTTTATATATATATATTTCTTTCAACATACCCGCCGTATCCCACCGAGGCGGGGTTTGGGCCCCAAAAAAAAAAACTAAAGTTTCTCTTTTTTAAATTTAGTAATATATACAGGAGAAGGGGTTTTCTAGCCCCTTGCTCCGGCATTTTAGTCGCCTCTTACAACACGCATGGCTTACAGAGGAAGAATTCTGTTCCACTTCTCCATGGAGGTAAGAGGAAATAAACAAGAACTAGAAAGAAAATAGAAGAAAACCCAGAGGGGTGTGTGTGTGTATATATATGCTTGTACATGTATGTGTAGTGTGACCTAAATGCAAGTAGAAGTAGCAAGACATACCTGAAATCTTGCATGTTTATGAGACAGACAAAAGACACCAGCAATCCTACCATCATGTAAAACAATTACAGGCTTTCGTTGTACACTCACTTGGCAGGACGGTAGTACCTCCCTGGGTGGTTGCTGTTTACCAACCAGGAAGAAATCCAAATATTCTTCCTTGAAGCCTTTTTATCCACTTCTCTGAGGCTATGGGTCCCACAATTTACACCAGAGGTGGACCCCATCCTATAAAAAAAAAAAAAAAAAAAAAAAATATATATATATATATATATATATATATATATATATATATATATATATATATATATATATATATATATATATATATATATATATATATATATATATATATATATTATATATATATATATATATATATATATATTCTTCTTCTTCTTCTTTCAACATACCAGCCGTATCCCACCGAGGCGGGGTGGCCCAAAAGGAAAAACGAAAGTTTCTCCTTTTACATTTAGTAATATATACAGGAGAAGGGGTTACTAGCCCCTTGCTCCTGGATATATATACAGTGGTCCCTCGTTTTTCGTAATTAATCCATTCCTGGAGCCGTTACTATAAACGAAATTTACGATTTACGAATCAATTTTCCCCATAAGAAATAATGTAAATACAATTAATCCGTTCCTGACACCCAGAAGTATTAAAACAAACAAATTTTTAACATGAAATATACATGTAGTACATAATACAATGGGAAATGATGAATGAAGCATTAACAGCATAACACTTACCTTTATTGGAGATTCTTCTTAGTGTATGGGAGACTGGAGGAGGAGAGAGAGAGTGGATTGTTTATAGTTTGGAAGGGGAATCCTCTTCCATCAACACCTCAGGTACCATTTGCTTTTCTGGGGTTGCTTCTCTTCTCTGTTTCTTAATGTATAACTACCAGTGCAATATTGAATGAAATAAACATTACTTTTTCACTTTTTTTGTAATCATTATTACTTACTAAAATTTTATTAAACACCATATTTACTACCAGTCAATTTTACTTTTGTACATTAAACATTATCTTATACTTCCCATAACATTTTGTTGCCAAATTTTCAAGTTTGTATATTCAACCCCAACCTTTATATTATCCTTTGTACCTGGGTACCCGTCTACCATCTTACTATCATATTATAACCAAGACATTACCATTGTTATTTTTTTACTATTATTTTTTTGGTACTTTAATTGTGAATTTTATTTTGTCAATTTAAATCTAGTTATAATCTTGATCTTGTCAACAACCTATACCAGACTCTAGTGCAATTGCAAGTACCATTTCAAATTGTATTTTTATATTATAAGTTTATATTATAATTCCTACCATCTGTCCATTTAACTTTGTTTACCATTACTTAAAATAATTTTAGTCCCTTATATATTTTCTCCTTTATTTTAGCTTTATATAACTACCCTAGTTTATATATTCACAATTGTTAAAATAATCAAGGTGCTATTCTCAGGTGCTAAAGTAGAATAAGTTCACAATTTTGCCATTATATTCCAAAGCTCATTTATTTGATTACCACTTTATTGTTCACCACAACCTATATTAGTCCCTTTTATATTATAATTTTATACTATAATTCTAACTTTAAAAAATTACCTTTATAATACTACCTACTATCATATTCCCAAGCTCCATTATTTGATCATCACTTTATTTGTATTAGTCCCTTTTATACTGTCTCCTTAGCTCATTATTTTACATTTGTTAAATAATTCAGGTGCTATTTTTTAGCTTAAGACTATTTACTTTGTTTTATACTTAATTCTAACTATAGATTCACTACAAATCTTATGATTACAAGCATTGATCCTGATACCAACCTCTTATTTAATGACTTAAATGAATCAAACAGTTACTGTAATTACTACACAGCAGAACAATCAAAGGCACTTCTCAGTGCCAACAACAACATAACTATCTTTAACTACAATATCAGATCTTTAAGCAAGCATTACGATGACCTCATAGCATTACTAAATTCCTTACATGCCAATATGTCCATCATTACACTAACTGAAGCCTGGCTAAAGCCTGATACTACAGATGTCTATGCCATTCCTGGTTACACAGCCATACACAACTGTAGGCCAGACCAACAAGGGGGTGGCACAGCCATATACTACTCAGACCAACTAGAATGTATCACTAATACTTGCACAAGGGATGAACATGGGGAATATTATTATATACAGTGGACCCCCGGTTAACGATATTTTTTCACTCCAGAAGTATGTTCAGGTGCCAGTACTGACCGAATTTGTTCCCATAAGAAATATTGTGAAGTAGATTAGTCCATTTCAGACCCCCAAACATTCACGTACAAATGCACTTGCATAAATACACTTACATAATTGGTCGCATTCGGAGGTAATCGTTGTGCGGGGGTCCACTGTATTATTATCACACTGGCCGATTCCCACCAAGGCAGGGTGGCCCGAAAAAGAAAAACTTTCACCATCATTCACTCCATCACTGTCTTGCCAGAAGGGTGCTTTACACTACAGTTTTTAAACTGCAACATTAACACCCCTCCTTCAGAGTGCAGGCACTGTACTTCCCATCCCAGAACTCAAGTCCGGCCTGCCGGTTTCCCTGAATCCCTTCATAAATGTTACTTTGCTCACACTCCAACAGCACGTCAAGTATTAAAAACCATTTGTCTCCATTCACTCCTATCAAACACGCTCATGCATGCCTGCTGGAAGTCCAAGCCCCTCGCACACAAAACCTCCTTTACCCCCTCCCTCCAACCTTTCCTAGGCCGACCCCTACCCCGCCTTCCTTCCACTACAGACTGATACACTCTTGAAGTCATTCTGTTTCGCTCCATTCTCTCTACATGTCCGAACCACCTCAACAACCCTTCCTCAGCCCTCTGGACAACAGTTTTGATAATCCCGCACCTCTCCCTAACTTCC